TTCCAACGATATTGATAATGTGACATGGAAGCCAATCAACATCTGTATGTTTACATATACTTATACATGCTAATTTACCGAAACGGACACAAGTTTTTTAATTCACCTAATTTCTAATAAGAATTCCGGTGGCATATGCAGAAATAGTCATGCAGCCATTACTCTGTTGGGTTGCCAGCCGGCGATCTAACGGACACATCCGTTAACTGAAAAAGAACATAAACAAAATGAATGTTAGAGTGTTGGTTTCGGAAAAAATATCCGAAAACAAAACACCGTTTGTCTAGGGCAAGGCCGAACGCCCGCTCTGCAGATATCCCCTGGTGGGACATCCTGTACTCGGTCTCCTGTCCCCAAGGTGGCCGTATGCCCGGTTGCTGTCGGCCAGCGTTGTATAGCTCCCGCTTGAGTGACCATCACGGTTCTGGCGTACGGAATCTCTAAATAACGTATTATATGGATGCTATAACTAGAACATCACGCATCTATTCACTTGTAGGCCTAGCGCACTACGGCTCCCGCGGTGAGCGGCAAGCCCATGAGATGCAGCACTCGATACGAGTTTCGAGTTGGAGAACAAGTTCTGTCAAATTACTTCTCGTTTGCAATCGCCATCAGCAGTCGTTTTTTCTGTCATTAGTTTGTGTGAAGGATTTTCGTGAGGCCCACACAAGCTACAACGCGAGCTTCCGCTGCCCCCTTGCCTATCATTCTCTGTGCCTTTTTGTGGAGTCATTCGCTTGAAGAGTAGCATTATCTTTGCATGATCTGCATTCGATCCAATCAGTTACCATTGAAATGTGTTGGGGGGGTTCAGGAAATCGACCTCCCTCTAAACGATCAGCGTAAGAGGGGTCTATTGACATTTACGCTGCCTTGGATGCTCCTCCGGGTGACTGGCGTCATTGTGACCTCATGAAAAGCAAGAAGCAGTCATTCAAGCTACTTGGCTTGCGCAGGTGTTTCTGGTGTTTTTGGCTGTTTGTGGCACTCTGGATGGTCGAGCAGCAGAATGTGTACTCATCACGGGCATCAGGTAGAAACGCCGCCGAGGATGATGCAGAATTGGAAATCACCAGG